CATATTAAATTACATTTTCTGGTCAAAACAACATTGTATTAAGTTATTTGGGCATGTTTATTTACATCACTAAACAGAATGTAAATTAGCATCTGTTAACAGTTCTTGGTTTCTCGTTTTCTAAATTAAAACAAATCTGGAATGAGTAAAATGAACAATATGGTAAACTAGTTTCAGCTAATTTTGCGTAATCCCCTTTATTTTCTCTTTCCTATAGATGGTTTAACAACTCTTAGAGAAAAGGAGGAAATGCAAATGTTAGTTTTGAGTCTAACTACTTTTCCACATCATAAACGTTGATATATCTTCTATGAACTTGGAATCACACCTCCTAGTAAAAATAGAAATGCAAGCTAATATCATTCTGGAGTGAACAAGACAAACTTCAAATTTTGAGTCTATAATGACAATATCGATGCTTTTTTGCAGCTTTTGCCAACAAGAGAAGCTGCCATTGACCTTCCAGTCCTGTGTGATCACCAAGGAGTGCCAGGTTTCTGAGTGGTCAGAATGGAGCCCCTGCTCAAAAACGTGCCAGGACGCAGCGTCCCCTGCTGGCACTCGGGGAAGGACTCGCACCATCAGGCAGTTTCCTATTGGTGATGAAAAGGAGTGCCCCGAACTTGAAGAAAAAGAACCCTGTTTGTCTCAAGGAGATGGAGTTGCCCCCTGTGCCACGTGAGTAAATAAATAAAGGTGCAGAGTCTGCCCAAATTTCTTTTGTTCAGCTGTTTAATTTCAGACTGTTCTCAGCTGAACAGTCTGTTGAGAAATGATTTTTACACACTCTAAGTAGAAAAGTAAAATATTTCTTTCCAAGCACTATTCTAAAACACACACACACACACAGGCACACACACGCACGTACCTGCTGGTTTTACATAACAAAAGCGTCTTTAAGAAGTTGTATTTCCAAATCTCCATGAAAGCTAGATTTTTGGCAGCAATTCTGTGCTTGTGTGTTTTCTATAATATGTAACTGGCAAACATTTTCTGCCAAGGGGAGGATTGTTAATATATGCAGCTTGTAGGCCATATATGTCTCTGTGATCTCGATCAGACATCTGAGGCCTCATTTAATCTTTTTGACTCTTCTGATTGAGATGAACACTAGCACCTCTGTTTATACCCAGGTGACCTGCTCATCACAGTGACACAAAGTGCTATGTGTGCCGTTTTCTTTGTACTTTTAGAATATCCATTTCCCTCGTGGTGGAGTAATGCCATCATGTCCTATCTGTAGTGGCATCGGGGAATGGTCCCTGGCTATCTCTTCCAAGCACATGTTAGACTGAAAATCTCCCAACCGTTCTTTCACATCAGCATCTTGATAGGAGCTTTAATTGAGCATCATAGATCGTCTTTCCCAAGCTCCACTGATTAGATAGAAACGTTAGCTCTCTGCAGCATTCATCAGCACTCATCAGCGATCCTCCATGCTACAGAGCAAAAAAAATTTATTCTTGACGATAAAGAGAAAACTCTGAATTGTCCTGTTACATTTTTAAATGATAACACACAATGACAATTTTGCTTCAGTATGAGTAAGCAATTTTCATTCATTTTACTTAAGGGGCAAAACAAACGTTTACATTCATCGTCACTTAGGATATTTTCCATTCTCAGATTCAACCCGCCTTTGTTTATCAGCATCAAGAAAGGGCAAGTCTGGGTTCAGCTTAATTGAACATAAAATTTCATGTTTTCAGCATTCTGCTCTCTTTTCATAAAATATTTATAAGTAACTTCCAGTAGTTGCAATTAAAACAGGATCACCCTAAATTTAACCCCTCTCTAAATGGAGCACTGCTGAGCATAATGGAGAAAGGACTGAAACTGAATTTGCATCATAGATGTCTACGATGCGTTCCAGAGGAAAGTGGCTTTTAGATGAATTCATGAGCAGAGTGGAGAAAAGTTGTATTCAATAAAATACAGTCACCGTCATGGGCATTTTCTTTTTCCAGGTATGGCTGGAGAACTACAGAGTGGACAGAGTGCCGTGTGGACCCCTTGCTCAGTCAGCAGGACAAGAGGCGTGGCAACCAGACGGCCCTCTGCGGAGGAGGCATCCAGACCCGAGAAGCCTATTGTGTCCAGGCCAACGAAAACCTCCTCTCCCACTTAAATACCCACAAGGGCAGAGAAGGTAAACAGGGCTTTCTTCTTAAGAACTCACTTAGAGGGACCCAGTATGTGACTGCTCTGGGGGACATATACGTAGCCAACTGGGGCACGAAGAGCCATGTTTCAGTCTGCATCACAGTTGGTGTTCATTATAGTAACCGGTGGTCCATGTTATGGAGTTAAAAAAAAAATTAGTACAACTCCATCTTTGGTCAGTTCTGATTGACTGATGAGTGTCTTTTTATACTTTTTTTTTTTGGCAGTTTTGGCCGGGGCTGGGTTTGAACCCACCACCTCCAACATATAAGACTAGCGCCCTACTCCTTTGAGCCATAGGCGCTACCCCTCTTTTTATACTTTTTTACTTAAATTCCTCCTGAATCAATCTCTGCACCAAAATCTAGCAGGTGTAGTTAATCACAAAACTAGAATAAAGATTCCTGTTGTAAGTACACATGTATGGTACACTTATATATTCTGCAGTCTAAAATTTTCTTTATATAAGAAGTTATACCTGCTTGTTAAAAAAATCTCATTTTGATAAAATGTGGCTAAAAATAAGTTAATTGTGATATTAAATAATCTGAATTCGAATTTAAGAGAAGTAAATACAGAATAAAAACCACAGAAATAGAAATCTTTAACCCAAAGGCATAATTTTTCCTTTTAAACCCTTTAATTGTTTGATTGACATGTCTTAGATTTTTTTTAATCTCAGTTTTGGGCCAGATACAGTAAATGTTCTAAAGAATAAGTTAGTCCAATATGGCTATGGCTAAAAGTATATATTATTTTATATCACTATTACTCTAAAATTCTTTGTAGTATTCTGTCAAGTTGATGTTAAATTAGTAGCTATAAAATCCTCACAAATGCCATTTTTAAGCAATGCTGTACCAGGGGTCCTCAAACTATGGCCCATGGGCCACATATGGCCCACCCAGGATACTTACTGGCCTGCTGGTTATTTTTGCCATTGCTGCCCGTCCTGCTTAGCAGCCGACTCATCCTGGGGCCCTCCAATGGTCTGAGGGACAGTGAACTGCCCCCCTGTTTAAAAAATTTGAGGACCCCTTTAAGCAGTTCTTATACTTCTTTTATCTGAGGGGTCACTAGTCCATTCAACCTGTATCAAATGGCTGCCAACAGAGTTCTAAAAATTATGTAAGCTAGTGAGGATAGAAATAGCAATACAGATTTCATGTCATGGAACTCCCCAAAGTCATCATCAGAACACATAAGTGAACCAATTAATAATACAACATGCTATGCTGTACCTCTGAGGGTGACTGAGAATGACTGTAGGAGGATCTGAGAGACAGAGCCCTTCACAGAGGAAGTGCTACTTGAGCTGAGCGACGGTGGGTACACTTCACAAATGCAAGAGGGTGTTTATTCCAGGCTGAGGGAACAATGTGTATTCGGCAGAACACTAAAGACAGCAAACAGGAAGGACAAATCTGCCAATTAAGATGAGCTTGTTGGCTTTGGTAAGTTGTCCATACGGCAGGGTGGAATAGGATAGGGGAGGGGAGGGAGGATAGGCTAGTGTTTCCTAGAAAATATTTTGGTTAGAAAAGGAAAAGAATAAGGATGAAGGTCCCATTTTATCCCAGGAAACAAAAGACCAAATAAAGGGGGTATTCAGGGAGGGAATATGAGCAAGAATGATCAAAAGCATAGAAACTAACCAGGAGAAATTAACATTCTGATCACTGAAATATGAAATGTCTTTTCTGTTCCTCCCCAAAGGGAGTGACACTAGCGACCAGGAATTTGTGGAAGATAAACACTAGTTTTTATCTAGTTTTGCATCTGCAACTTTCAAAATTTAATTGTTCCATACACACTAATATTGCATAGTATGTCATCTCATTTAGGAATCTAGCCTAGGGATGCATTTTAATGTACCTTCAAGTTATAAGGAAGTAGCATAAAACATGTAATGTTAGTACATTAATATTGTCTTGGCCACTTTAATGTCTGCGTTTTAACACTCTTAAGTAGATTTATTACCGCAGTCCTTTCAGAGTAGTATAATTTCATTGCTAGAGGTAGATCAAGTTTTAGTTTCTGAATGTCAATTATGTCCTGTAGGTTATTACTTTCAAGAGATCCTTCAGAATTCTGAATTACAACTGGATATATTTTAAACCATTTTTTTATAGAGTCCAACCTACCCTTGCCAAATCACTGCAGATACCAAAAATAAAGTCACAGAAAGAAAAGAAAACAGAATGAATCTCACCATTAAGTTGTATTTGTTGGACTAAAGCAAATGCCGTAGCAAAGGTCAATGGATGTGGAAGTAATTAATTCACTTAAAATTAGTGTTTATAATGTAAATATATAACATGAATAACTTGGGGATTTGTGTCCTTTCCTATGAAATGCCAAGAATACTAACAAGCCTCTTACAATCTTTGTGAAACCAGTGATTCTCCCTAACAGTTATGGCTTTTATTCAGCAGAATTTAGACTATGTGAAATTCCTCCCAGGAATACTTAACATTTCCCATTTGGAAACATATCCTGTACACCAGCATCCCAGGGGTGACATATAAAGACTATAAATATGTGTGAAAGGAGAACTATTAGACTGTGAGCTGTGAAGATTGCTCACCGTCTACCCTCATTTAACAAATATGGAAGAATGAAGGTTTACCTTATAGAGAGAAACCACTCAGAACCACCTGCCAACTAATCCTAGTAAGCCTAATCTCAAGAAACCTTGACTGTAATCATGAACAACCTGCCCTAAGACTAATTCGTTTTCTACTTAATTGGGAGGGTAAGTCTGCACTGTTCTTCATGGAGATTCACACTACTGTCTGTTCTGTAGATGATTTGTTTTTAAGTGTACCCAAGATTTTAAAAACACTTCAAATAAAATATTTTCAGTCAAAAATAAAATTTCTTGATACAAAAACACGGAAAGCAAGGGATGTGACATTCATGTAAAGTTCTTTTAATATTTTGGCCCATCCTATTACACAGAGGAATGGTCATGACCTTCCTCAGCATAAAGGCAAGGAGACATTGGTCACTTTATTCACTGGTGCATTCACTACTGTTAAAGGACTCTTTACTGTACTGGCCCAGAAAAAATCTCATATTTGGAGGTATTATATTTAAGTTCTGGAAAATCAAAATATATACCTTTAAAGTGCAGTGCATTTGGTATAATATCCAAAACAAATGTTGGTTAAGTTGGTGATAGTGTCTATGGACAATAAGAAAAATATATCTACTTGATATAGAGAGAGTTTATATTTTATTCATATACTGCTGCTAGCTATGGGTAATACTCCCAATTATGACAACTCTTCCCCCACAATATACTGGTGAGCAAAATTTCCAGTCTATCAGTTCTTTAGAAGAAAGGCTTGACACATTTCCTGCTGAGAAGAGCTAGAAGTAAAGCCCTTGACTATTTCTATTTAGCCAGCTGATCAGAATTCCAGTAGTCTGTGAAGAATATCCAGCTTACACTGGCATGAAATCTACCCTTACTGGAGTGTAACAGAAACAGGCTTTACCCATAGGGAAGGTTAGCTGTATGCATCCGAGAAAGCTGATGAAAATATTGCTGATCATTGGATGCATGGAAGTAAACTTATTTGTTTTTTTAAGAGCTGGAGTTGAAATAAAAGTAGATTTTTAGCTACAGTAATTGAAGAAATTCTTACATTTGGTACCTATTGAACATATTATTAAATGAGAGAAATTGACAATAAGGCACCATGAAGTTAGCAGTGACTTATAGAAAATGTAAACAAAAACATTCCTCTACAGAAAACAAACCAAAAAAGCCACACTACAATCTGGACAGAATTTGTAGGGTGGGAGGTTATTAAGAAAGTCATCCTAGGTAATGAGCCTGTATGATGGTATATAATGAGATCTACCAGAAAGAACTGGAGGATTAATGGAAAGGTAGGTAGAGAGAAGGATGACTGAGCTGTAAATGAACAGACAGAAGGAGATTTTATACACACACACACACACACATACGTGTGTGTGTGTATATATATATATCCAACTCGTCTTCCTATGTTCAGCAGAAAATAGAATAGTCATACTATTCCTAAATTAAATGCAGATTATTTATTACTGCAGACTTTTATCTACAGTTTCCACAAATAAACCTACTTCAAAGTTTTTTTGAAAAGAAAAAAAGAAAGGCTATGCTTATGGTGCCTTTTCCCTGTTATTTCAGAAAGTAAATATCAGAGTACGTCGAAGTCTAGTGCTGCACCTTTCCTATCGATCACTTTTGAAATAACAGGTAGGTGAGAATATTTTACATGATATTGCCATCAGAAATATGCATCAGAGAGTCACGGGTCTCTGATACCTAAGAGATTCTCCATAGGTTCCCTGATATGATCCTTAAACCGTCTATGACAGATACTGGTTAACTTTTATTTTCTGTTTTGCTAGAAATATATTGAAGATGTACCTTTTAATATAAATGATTTTTTGTTTCTTTTTACTCTTTGTAATAACATTATATAGATGTAAATTACCGAAAAACATGAAGATTTTTAAATTTACTGACTTGTAAAACTTTCACTAGTATTTCGTAATTATACAAACAGGTATATAACATTTGGGTATGAACACTTTTGTTAAGAGACATTCATGTAGGTATGAACACTTTTCATAATTTGTCATATTTCTAAACACATCCTTTTATGCTTAGTTAATCTTAATGTGGTAAATGGAAAAGAAGTTAAAACACACAGTGGCTGAATCTATAGTACATAATGCACTATAGATAATGGTGAGATGTAAATGGCACTGTAATGTAATTATAGCAGGTCCTCCGATAATGTTATTTTATTCAACACTGCTTCATTATGGTGGGCTACTGGGCCCACTGTGTGTGCACACATGCACGTGTGTGTGTGCGTACACGTATGTCTGCATGGATTTTCTCCAAGTACTCTGGTTTCCTTCTACCCCCAAACTGTGCCTGTTAGGTGAATTAGATTGTCCCCATCTGAGTGAGTTGAGGTT